TTCCCTTCCCCCCTCCCCCCTCCCCCTCGTAAGAAAAGAAAATGCTCGCGCACGTTGCCCGGCGCGGGGCCGCCTGCCTCCCCCGGCTAGGGCGGCCGCTGGTGGCCGCCGGGGTCCATGCTCTGGGCCCGGCTGGCCGGCCGTTCTCCTCGGATGCCGGGTCCGGCTCGGCCCCCCCGCCGACCGTCGGGTCGGGACTCTCGCCGGCGGAGCAGGCCGGGGCGCCGGTCTCGCACGACCGGTTCCTGCAGTATCTCATCAGCAAGATCCGCCTGCAGGGGCCCCTGTCGGTGGCGGACTTCATGAAGGAATGCCTGACCAACCCGGTGGCCGGGTTCTACATGCACCACGATGCCCTGGGCCGGGCGGGGGACTTCGTCACCAGCCCCGAGGTGAGCTCCCTCTTTGGGGATTGTGTCGGCACCTGGGTGACCAATGTGCTGCTGGGTTTCGAGGGGCAAGGGGCGGCCGGTGCCGGTGCCGGTGCCGGTGCCGGGGGATCGCCCTTCCGGCTGGTGGAGCTGGACCCCGGCAAGGGGACCCTCATGAAGGACGTCCTGCGGGTGGCGCGGCGTCTGTACTCCGGCCGGGGGGTCTCCCTGGGGGACCGCCTGTCGCGGGTGCAATTGGTCGAGGCGTCGCCGACCCTGCGCGCGGTGCAGGCGGCCGCCCTGCAGGTGGACCCGGCCACCGGGCGCACGCCGGACGGCGTGGCCGTCAGCTGGTACGGCTCGCTGGAGGAGATCCAAGCCGAAGACCGGGAGTTGGCGGCCGCCGGCCGGCCGGCCGAGCGATTTGTCCTGCTGGCACACGAGTTCCTGGATGCGCTGCCGGTGTTCCAATTTGTCCGGCCGCCCGGGGGGGCCTGGTCCGAGGTGCTGGTCAGCCTGTCCCCGCGGCTGGTGGCCGAGCTGGACCCGGTCGGCCCGGCCGGCGGCGAGGCTGGCTCGGGGCCGGCATTGCCGCCCATGCCGGAGCTCTCCGGCGAGGATGCCGAGCATGATCTCTGCTTCACGCTGTCCGATGGCCCGACGCCGAACTCCTCCCTGGTGAGCATGTTTGCCGGGCCGGGCGGTGGCGCGCCGGCCACCGTCACCCACGCCCCGGCGTCGTCGTCGTCGGCGGCGGCGGCGGCGACGACGACGACGACAGACCCGGCGCCGGAGGACGATCGCATCGAGATCAGCGCCGCGGTGGCCGACGTCAGCGCCCGCATCGCCCAGATGGTGGAGGACCACCGCGGTGTGGCGCTCATCGTGGACTACGGCGTGGATGGGCCGCTTCGCTCGTCGGTTCGGGTGCGTGCTGCGCTGTTGTTGTTTTTTTTGCCTGCCCTCGTTCCCTCCCCTGGGCCTGCCTCCCTCCCTCTCTCTCTCTCTCCCGTCGTTTCTCTTCTTTCTTTTGCCCTGCGTCTCTTCTCCCGGCCCGCCATTCTCCGGTCCATTCTCCCGCCAGCCTCTCGCGCGCGCTGCCCCCCTCGCTGCCGAGATGCTCCCCCCTCCCTCCCTCCGTCCCCTTCCCTCTGGGCCGACCATGCCCATGGCTTCTCAAACATGCCTCTGACCCGTTCACCCTCCCTTCCCCTCTCTGCGGCGCGGCCTCCACGCGGCCGGGCCCCGCTCTGCCGCCTCCCCTTGCACACGATCGCCCCCCCCCTCCTGGGTCGCAGGGCATCCGCCAGCACCAGTTCGTGCATCCCCTGCTGCAGCCGGGCACGGTGGATCTCAGTGCGGATGTGGACTTCTCGCTGGTCCGCCGGGCGGCCATGCACATGCCGCTGGCCTTCGACCTGGACGCCACCACCGGGTCCTCGGTGTCGGGGCTGGACCAGTCGCTCCGGGCCCAGCGCGCCGGCGAGGGCCAGGAAGATCCGGCGGCGGCGGCGGCGGCGGCCATTGCCTCGCGGCTGGACGCCGCGGCCCCCCTCCGGCGCCAGGTCAATGTGTCGGGCCTGATGACGCAGCACGAGTTCCTCCGCGACATGGGGATCGGGGTGCGGCTGCAGCAGGTGCTCAAGCTGGACTCCGCGCGCCAGGCGGCGGCGGCCAAGGCGGCGGCCACCGGCGAGGCCCTCCCCCCAGGGGCGCCGGCGCCGATGTCGCGCGAGGACCGGGCCGCTCTGATCTCCGGCGTCCGGCGCCTGGTGGACCTGGACCAGATGGGGCAGATCTACAAGTTCATCGCCATCAGCCCGAGCGATGGCAGCCCGGAGCCCGGGCCGGATGCCCTGCCGTATCCCTTCCGGCCGCATGCGCCGGCCGGCGGCAAGCCCCGCGAGTAGATGCGTCTCTCTGTCTCTCCCTCCGCCCATCCCCTGGTCGGTCTCTCGCTCGGTCGCTCGGTCGCTCGGTCTCTCTCTCTTTCCGGGCTCCCGGCCTCTGGCGTCCCCCGGGTCGCGGGGTGCCTTGGGGCGTCGGATGCCTCGCTGGCTTGCCCCCGCCGGCCACGGGCCGCGTCTCCCCACCCCCCTGCCTCGGTCCAGCCCGTGGGCGCCCCCTTTCACGGGCACCGGCGCGCTCCGGAGCCGCAAATACACCTCCCCCATAGATTGGCCGTGCCCGTGCATCCCCCCTCCTCGGTGTTTGATTCTGCCCGGCTGGCAGCGGGCCCAGCCAGTGAGCTGGCAGCAGCAGCAGTAGCAGCAGCAGCAGCAGCAGCAGCAGCAGCACGGCCGCCCCTCCAGCCCCTCCATCCCGGCCGCGCGGACGAAGCATGGGGCCATGTATTTGCGTGTGTGTGTGTGTGTGTGTATGTATCAAGGACAAAACTCGGGTGCCGGCGTGTGTCTGCTCACCCTCTGTCTCGCTTTCGTCTTCCTTCACGCCTCGCTCTCGCTCTCCTCGTGGCCGCTCTCCTCGCGCTGGCCCGGGCCCGGGCCCTCTCCAGGCCCGGGCCGATCTCGCCGATGGCCGATGCGCGCGCACGCACACCCGGCCGCCGGGCGGCGCGGCGCTCGCGGTGCGCACTCTTCTACTGGCGCGGCCGGAGGGGGGCGGGGCGGGGGCGAGCACGCGCGGGTCACCCCTGGAGCGCTTGCAGGCCCGTCCCCTCGGGCCAGAGCCGGTCCGCATGGCGGGCGGGCGCGGCAAAGAGGAAGCGAATGCGCTCATTCTCGCCGATGGTGTTGGGGTATATGCTGAGGGCCGAGAGGGACAGCTGCTGCTGGTGGCCGAAGCGCCGGGTGTCCCCGGGCCCGGGCCAATGGGCCTGGCACAGCTGGTACGACACGACCATGGGCCGGAGGATGTCGCGCTGGCGGTCGGGCGGGAGGTTCTGCGGGCCGCTGGCTCGGATGACCATGCGGTAGCGCATGGCCGACTGGTGGTTCATCGGGCCGCCACAGGCCGAGCAGCGCATCATCCCGGCAAACAGGGCCACCACCGTGGGGGACACCTGGCGCAGGATGGCCCCCGGCTGGCGGCCGGTCAAGTCCAGCAGGGCGGAGATCTGCTCCACCGGCGGGAGGCTGTTGGCATGGCCGGGCCCGGTGGCCGGGGGCCTGCCGGGGGTCCAGGCGCCGGGGCTGCCGGTGGGGAGGGGGGGGCCCCGGTGGCCGGGGGCCCGGCCCGGGAGGAGCCCGGCCCGGGTCCGGCCCCAGAGGCTGCTGGCCCAGCGCCGGGGCCGGGAGGACCCGGGCCGGCCGGGGCGCCCGGTGCCCGAGGCGCCGGGCGTCGTGGCCGCCGCCGCCGTGGCCGCCGCCGCCGCCGCCGCCGCCGTGGCCGCCAGTACCCGCGCGGCCAGGGCCTCGGCCCGGGCCGGGTCCGCCTGGCGGAGCTCGCGCCAGATGTTGTGCTGGCGCCAGAGCTCCCGGCAGGCCAGCTCCAGCAGCGAGGGCGAGCGCTGGCTGGCGGCCGTGCGCCGGGCCAACGTCCGGCAGTGGGCCGCCGCCAGGACGGCCAGATTGTGCGCATGTGCCTGGCGCAGGCGGGCCGCCGCGTCGCGGTTGGGGTCGTTGGCCCCGACGCCGGCCGCGGCCGCGGCGATGGCCACCGCCGTGGGCATGAGGTTGGGGTTGTGGGGGTTGTTGCCGGTGGCGGCGGCGGCCGCGGCGGTGGTGGTGGTGGTGGCGGCGGCCGCGGCGGCGGCGGCGGCGGCAATGGCCGCGGCCATGGTGGCGGCTGTGCCGGTGCTGGCGGCCGGCCCGGGGCCGGCGGCCGCGGTGGCCGCGGTGCCCGGCGCCCCGGCAGGGGGTCCCCCCCCGGGGGCCGGCAGCGGCGGGGGGGGGCCGGTGGCCGCGGCGGCCGCCGGCCCGCCGAACGGCCCCGTCCCGATGGCAATGCCCCCGCCGGCCAGGGCGTGCTGCACCAGGGTGTCGGCCGGCACCCCGGGGGCGATCATGGCCCCGGGCCCCGGCAGCGAGCCCAAGCTGATGGGCACCATGGGGAGGTGGCCGCCGGGGCCGAGGCCGCCGGGCGGCAGGCCCAGCAGGGCGTTGACGTGGCCCGGGCCGGCGCCCCCCGGGCCGGCGATGGCCCCGGCGATGGCCTGGCCCAGGCGCTGGCCGGCGGCGGCGGCCCCGGCGGCCCCGCCGCCGGCCGCCTCCTCCAGCTCCGGCACCCCCAGGCCCAGGCCCAGGCCAAGCCCGAGCCCACCGTGGGACATGGCAAACTGTCGGGTGGCCGCCTCGAGCACGCTCGGCGAGAAGTCCGGCACATCGTCCGCCAGGCCGTCCTGCGAGAAGACCGTGTCTGGGGCTGGGGGGGCGGGCGGGCCCGGTCCCGGCGTCGGGCGGGTCGCGTGCCGCATGGCCGTGCCGCGGGCGGTCGGGCCCCCGGGGGCCGGGCCGGAGCAGTGCCGGCATCCGGCGGTGCCAGGGCCGCCGCGGGCCGCGCGCGCGTACACAAAAGACCATGCCCCGTCACGCGGGGTGGCCATCCCCGTCGGCGGGAGACCACGCGGGCGCCATGTGCGGTGCGCACACATAGTGTGGGTGTCGTGCGGAGAGGTCAGTGTCTGATCCCGGGCCAGAGGCGGATGCCAAAAGTGGGCCCAGCCGGCTCGCCGGGCAGGGGAGGCGGCCGGCCGGCCGGCGGGGACGCACGGTCAACATGCTCGGCGGGCAGGGCGGCGGCCGGGTGCGGCGGCCGGCCGGCCGGCGGGTCGCCCACGGCGCCGGGCGCCCGGGCCTCGGGCGCACCCTCGGTCGGCCAGTTCAGCGCACGCATCCACCCGGGGGCGGCCCGGCGGAAGTGCGCACTCACCTCGGCCAGGGTGAGCCCGGGGCCGGCGGCCGGGCGGCTGGCGGCGGGCCCCGGGGGGGCCGGCGTGCCGGCCGCCCGGGCGCACAGCATCCGCCAGTAGGGCAGCCGGTCGGGGTCGGGCGCGGGGCCGGCCGCCAGCCGCCCGGCGGCCGGCACGCCGGCCCCCGGCCCCGGCCCGAGGCCCCGGGGGTCGGCCGGGTCCGCGGCGCCGGCCGGCCGCAGGTGCATGTAGCAGCCCCCGCGATCGATCCACTCGATCTGGGCGGCCGACAGGAAGTGGCACCCGTGGAAGGTGAACCGGCGAAGCTGCGGCAGGCTCAGCACCTCGGCCGGGATGGCCACCAGGGGGTTGCGCTGGACGGCCAGCTCCTCCAGGGACTTGCACTCGCCCAGCACCCGGGGCAGCTCCACCAGGCGGTTGTCATTCAGCAGCAGGGAGTACAGCTCGGCCGAGGCGCGCTGGTAGGTGGCCGCCGCGGTGGGCAGCACGGCCAGGCGGTTGTGCGACAGGTCCAGCTTCCGCAGGCACGGCAGCTGGAAGAGCTCCGGCGGCACGGCCGTCAGGTTGTTGTGCGACAGGTTGACCAGCTTCAGCCGGTGCAGGCGGCCCGGGCCATCGCGCAGGGCCCCAAGCGGCAAGTCCACCAGGGCATTGCGCGACACGTCCAGCAGGACGAGCTTCCGCGCGCGCGAGATGTCCTGCGTGATTTGCACCAGCCCCCGGCCGCGCAGGTCCAGGCTCGTGGCCCGGGCCAGGCCCCGGAGCCGGATGGGCTCCAGCTGCTCGCGGTCGGCCCACAGCCGGGGCAGCGGCGGCTGGGCCTGGGCGTGCTGCTGCGCGGTGGCCGGCTGCGGGTGGTCGGGGCCGCCCCGGCCGCCGCCGGCCCCGGCCCCGGCCCCGGCCCCCGGCACCAGGCCCACAACATGCCCGCCGCTGTGGGCCCTCTGCGGGAGGCGGTCCGCCGGCCGGCCGGCCGGGCCTTCGGCCGGGTCCTCGGCGTCCTGCTCGTCATCGGCCTCGGCCCCGGGGGGGGTGGCCGGGGGGGGCGCCGCTCGGGGGCCGGGCGCCGGGCTGCCCGGGGCGCCGGCCGGCCGGACCAGCGGCCGGACCTTGCCGGACCCGACCACGCGCGACCACCGGCTCGAGGCGCCGGCCGGGGCCGGGCCAGCCCCCCCGGCGTCGACGGCGGCGCCGGGGCCGGCGGCGGCCGTGCCCGCGGCCGTGCCCGCGCCCGCGCCGGCCGCAGCGGCCCCGGCCCCGGCCACGACCCCGGCCCCGGTGGAATCCCCCGTGCCCAGGAGCATGTCCTCCTCGTCGGTCGGGTGGTCGAGGTACACCGCGTGCCCGGCCAGCGGGGCGACGTCCGTCCGCCCGGCCAGGGTCTCCAGCTGGGACCGGCGCAGGGGGACGGCCAGGTGCGCGGCCGCCGCCATGGCCAGCCCGAGGTTCGGATCGCCGGCCGCCTCCGGGTCGCGCAGCAGCGCCTCCAGCCGGCTGGGCGACATGCTGAGCTGCGGCGCGGCCGGCTGCAGGGGCGGGTGCGCGTGCGGGCCCGGCGCCGGGGCGCCCGGCGTGGCCCCGCCGAACAGGTCGGCCCCCGGGCCCGGGGCCTCGTCCGGCTCCATGTCCTCGGTGTCCGAGGCGGTGTCCCAGTCGCCCAGGTCCCCGGGCTCGGAGGAGTAGCCCCCCGGGTGGGCCTCGTCGCCGGACCAGCCGGCCTCCGGGTCGCTGGTGTCCGCCCCATCGTCGGACCCCAGGGTGAAGAGGAGATTGTCGCCGGACAGCGGCGTCGGGGGCCCGGCATCGGAGGCGGTGTCCGGCGACCGGGCGGCCGCCAGCCGGCTCAGCAGCCGCGGCAGGGCCACCTGGTCGGCGATGGCCGCCAGGCTGCCGGGGCCGCTGTGACCACCGGCCCCCGGGGCCGAGTCCACCGACCACCGGGAGCCGGAGTCCGCGCGGGCGAGCCGGCCCGGCGGCTTGTCCCGGCCGGTGCCCCGGCGGTCGTCGAGGCCGTCCGGGCTGTCGGCGCCGTCGGCCATGCCGGGGCCCGGGTGCCGGGCCAGGCAGGCGCTCGGGTCGCTCTGGCAGCGCTCCAGCAGCTGCAAGTGCTCGCCGGCCGGCGGCCGGCCCCCGGCGGGGGGGAAGGCCGGGCCGGCCCCGGGTGCCGGGCCGGGGCTGCCCCCGGGCCCGGGCCCCGGCCCCGGCCCCGGCCCCAGCGGCGACATGCTGCGCCCCTCGAAGGCCCCGGGCCCGATGCGCCCGACGCGGAAGTCGATGTGGTCCCGCCGGCAGTCGCCGGACGAGTAGGACACGCGCATGGTCTTGCGCAGGGTGCTCGGGCCGACGGGCACCGAGTCCCAGGCACGCGAGAGCGGCCCCCCGGCGGCCGGGGCCGGTGGCGGCGCCCCGGGGCTTGTGCCGGAGGTGGCCGGGCCGCCGGGCGGGGTGGCCGGGCCGGGCCCCACGCCGCCGGCCGGGCTTGCCGGCCCGGCCGCCACCGAGCCGCCGCCCGACCGGCCCGACTCGGTGGAGGCCAGCGACCGGCTGGAGGCGGTCCGGCCGGCCCGGTGGAGCCCGGCCACCGGCCGCGGCGGGGGGCTTTCCGCGCGCCCGGGTCGGGGGCCCTGGCGCGGCCGGCGGCGGCGGGCGCCCCGGCGGTCGTCCGGCGCGCCGGCTGCCGGGTCCGGCTGCCGGGGGCCCGAGGCCGACCCCCGGGCCCCTCCCCCGGCGATGGACAGGGCCACGGACTCCTGGGCCAGCAGCAGCAGCTCATAGCCCAGGCCATTGTCCGAAGTGCTGCCGGCCGTGCGGCTCAGCAGCTGGGCATAGAAGTCCCCGGAGCGCCGGGCCGCCGAGAGGGTGGCAATGCCGGCGTCCACATTGCGGTCCTGGTCCAGGAAGGAGGAGGCCGCCGACACCAATGCCGCGGCCAGGATGGACTCGGAGTCGGTGCGGCCGGCGCCGGCCAGGGCGGCCGCGGCCGCGGCCGCCGCCGCGGCGATCACCTGCGGCGGGGCCGCCGCCTCGACCAGGGCATTGACGATGCCGGCCGCGGCGGCCGTGGCCTGGGTGGTCTGCGACCCGGCCATGGTCACCTGGGAGTTGACGGTGGCCGCGGCGGCCGCCGCCCCGAGGGCCTCATTGTAGGTCAGCTGCGACGAGGAGTTGATGCCGTCGGTGCTGCTGTCGCGCAGGCCGATGATGATGCCGTTGCGGCTGTCGGGCGGCGTGCGGCTGGCCAGCGGCGGGGGGATGCCGGGCGCCGCGGCGCGCGCGTCATTCTGGCCACGCACGCGCGACATGGATCTATCCGGGGCGCGTCAGGACCGGGGGTCGGAGGCGGGCCGGGTGGGGGGGGGGGGGGGGCCGGGGGCGCGCGCACGCGGCGGGCGGCGGCCGGGAAGGGGAGCGCACCTGCCCGGTTGTGGCCTGCGCGTCGGACGGTCGCCGCGACGGGGCCAGGGCCGGCCGGGAGCCAGGAGCCTGCGAAGGCGAGCGGATGGGGCAGACCGACGGGGCGAGGGCCGCGAGGCGAAAAGGCGAAAGGTGGGGAGGGGGAGGGAGGGAAGGAGCGGGCGCGCGAGGAGCAAGAGACGGAGGCAGAGGAACAAAGAGGGCAGATCGATGTGACAGAGGGGGGGGGG